CTGGGGACGATTTTCTTCACTATTCATTTGGGGGGGTATTCTTTGAGTATTTTTTTTTCCGCCCAACACGCACCAGGGGCCAGGGGCGGGCCTGGGCAGGGGGGCGGGGCCGGGTCTGGGGCAGGGGGCCGGGGCCGGGGCCGGGGCCTGGGCCGAGGCCGGGGGGAGGTCCCGGGCCCCACTGCCAGCAGGGACGTGTTTCATGCTCGGGGCCACGACGCGCGTTGTGCCCGCCCCCCCCACTTCTTCCTTCCCCCATCACGCACCGCTCCCCCCCCCGTTCCCCCGCGCCGTGCGGACCCGGGGTCTGCCGCCGTGATGCTCGCAGGCTGCTGTGGTGCTTGCAGGCTGCTTGAACGCGTTGGTCGTCGTGTCCGAGGGCCTCCCAGGGCCTGCTGACGCTTGCTGAGGCCCCCGGAGATCCCCTGAGGCCTCGGGAGACCTAGACTTTCAGAGGCGGCCGTCGCCGTCGCCGTCGTCGTCGTTGTCGTCGTCGTCGTCGTCGTCGTCGTCCCCGTCCCCACCCCTTTCCCCGCTCCCGTCCCTGTCCCCGTCCCCGTCCCCGTCCCCGTCCCCATCGTCGTCCCCGTCGTCGTCGTTGTCGTCGTCATCATCGTCGTCGTCGTCGATGTTGTCGTCCGTCGTCGTCGTTGCAGTCGTCGTCGTTGGCATCGTCGTCGTCGTGGTCGTTGTTTTAGTCGTCGTCATCGTCGTCCTCGTCCTCCTCGTCAGCGTCCGCCTCGTCCCTGACGTCGTCTTCCTCGCGTTCCTCGTTCTCGTGCTTTTCGTCGTCTTTGTCGTGGTCGTCGTCGTCATCGCCACCGAGGGCCTCACCTCCTTAGGCATCTGGGGGACCTCCAGAGACCTTCAGAGACGGCCGTCGTCCTCGTCGTCCTCCTCGTCGTCGTCGTCTTCGTCATCGCCGTCGTCGTCTTCCTGTCGTCGTCGTCCCCGTCGTCCTCCTCGTCTTCGTCTTTTTCCTCGTCGTCGTCCTCGTCGTCTTCGGCCTCGTCTCCGTCCTCGTCTCGTCCCTGCCGTCGTCGTCATCCTTGTCCTCCTTGTCGTAGTCGTCGTCGTCGTCGTCGTCGTCGTCGCCGAGGGCCTCGAAGGGCCTCCAGACGCCTCCAGAAGTCTCCAGAGACCTCATTAGGCCTCCGGAGACCTCTGGAGACCTTCAGAGTCGGCCGTCATCCTCGTTCTTGTCCTCGTCCTCGTTCTTGTCGTCGTCGTCCTAGTCCTTGTCCCCGTCCTCGTCTCGTTCCTGCCGTCGTCGTCGTCCTCGTCATCCTCGTTGTCCTCGTCGTCGTCGTTGTCGTCGTCGTCGCCGCCGAGGGCCTCGAAGGGGCTCCAGATGCCTCCAGAGGTCTCCGGAAACATCCTTCGGCCTCCAGAGACCTCCGGAGACCTTCAGAGGCGTCCATCGTCCTCGTCCTCGTCCTTGTCCTCGTCGTCGTCGTCGTCTTCGTCCTCGTCGTCGTCGTCGTCGTCGTCGGCGTCGGCGTCGTCGCCGTGCCCGTCTCCGTCTTTGTTTTGTCGTTGTCGTCGTTGTTGTCTTCGTCGTCTTCGTTGTCGTCCAGCGCTCGGGCGTCTTTCGTTGTCCAGCAAACACCAGCACAGAATAATGTTCGAATTAAGGTGTGTGTGTGGGGGGGGGAAAGCGCTGTGGTGCTGCACGTACGCATTGCACAGTACATAGGCGATGTGGTGCACGCGGCTGCTGCGGTGCATACTGTGCTGTGCGCACTGTGGTGCTTGCTTCGATGTGTGCAAGCACTGTGGTGCAGGAGCCATACGGGGGGGAGGGGGGGGGCCGCTGCGTTATGCCCCCCCTCGTAACGCCCGTCATGGCCGCGAATCTAAAAATGCGCTCCAGGGAGGCCACCCTCGTGTCCCGTTTCTTCATCGGGGGGGGCCGCCCGAGGGGGGTCACGACCCCCGGGTCCCCCCCCTGGGATTCCCCCCCCCCCCCGGGACCCTCCCTGGGACCCCGCTCGGCGCCCCCCATTTCCACCCCAGGGGACCACCCCCTGGACCCCCCCCCCCTTGGCGCGCAAGGCGTGAAAGGCAGGGATTCCCTTTCAACGTAATGATGATCTTGTTCGATCCCCCTTGTTCGTTCGATCTCCCTTGCGACGACGACGATTCAAAGGAGGCTGGCGATTTGGGTTTGGCAGGACTCGCGTCGAAGAGCCTCTCACACACGCCGACTGGGTTGGCGGATGTTTGACGCCCCGCCCCCCAAAAAAGTCTGGAACGCCGTGCGGGAAGGCACAGGGGGCGGCGAATCGAAGTCACCTACGGCGAATCACCGCCGCCCCCTGCCTTTGAGGATACGCCTATGAGGCCACATGTTTGGCCACAGTTTGGCCACGCTATTGGACCATGCGTTCCTCCAGCAGAAAGAGGAGGAGAACAAGGAGGAGGAGGAGGAGGAGGAGGAAAAGGAGGAGGAGGAGGAAAAGGAGAATGAGGAGGAGGAGGAGGAGGAGGAGGAAAAGAAGGAGGAGGAGGAGGAGCAAACATATGCCCCTGGGGCAACTCTTGGGGCCTTGTGGGAGCTTCCTGGGAGCTTTTTGGAGGTTTCTTGGGGGCCTCCTTGGGCGTACTAGGGGCGTTTGGGGGGCTTCTTGGAGGGCCTCTTCGGCTGTCTTACGGCGTCCCTGGCCCGACTGACGCCGTCTTGGATGCCTCTCTGAACCGACTTGGGGCAGGGCACTCTTGGGGCACCTCAGGTCCGTCTTGGAGGCCATCGTTGGCGTCTTGGTGGGGCCTTTGGGTCGTCCTGGGGCCCTTTGGGCCGTCTTGGAGGCCTCTTGGGCCGTCGTGGTGCCATCTTCGAGGCCTCTTGTCTTGGGCGCTTCTTCGGCTGTTTTGGGCTCTTTTGGGCCATCTTCGCGGTCTTAGAGGTGTCGTGGAGCCATCTTGCAAGCAATTTTGGGGCTACATTGGGCTCTCTCGGGGCCATGCCGGCCGTCTTGGAGGCATCTTGACTACCTTGAAGGCCATCTTGAAGCCATCTGAAGCGAAAAAGCCGACGAGACAGGCAGCAGGCGCGCTGTGCCGAAGGCACAGGGGAGTTCACAAAGAACCAAAGTTTCTCAGAACGTCCAGCACGCCAGGCACCCCCGTGGCAAGCCAAGAGGGGGCGGCGAATCTTGTGGCCTTCCGTTCATCCCGCCACCATGCCTGGATTGTGGGCCACATCCCTCTTGGATGCCTGTTGGAATCTCTTGGAGGCCTCGTCGGGTCGGTGGTTCAAAGATGGGGTCCTGAGGGATGGGGTCGTCAGGACAGGGCGAAATCCAGGGGTGGATTTACATTGTTTGAGGCACCTCGTCCTTAGGACCCCACCCCTCAGGACCCCGTCTTTGAACCGCCGATCGGGGGCCCCAACTTCTACTTTCTCCAGCCCATCTGCAGGAGTGGTACCAGCACATCTTCGCCCCCCCTTGCCACGAACCGTGTGAGGGGTGTGCCGAAATGGGTGGCGGTCCCCGCGTGCGGCCTGCGCCACTGGGGCCTTCGGTGGAGCTCCCCGTGGGGCCACGAGGCGTGCGAGGGGTGTGCCAAAAGTGGGCGGCGGTCCCCGCGCGCGGCCCGTGCCCTGCAGCAGTGTGCTGGCACGTCTTCGTCCCCCCGTGCCGTTCCCTGGCCTTCCAGAGAGCTATGTTTGAGCACTGGAGGCCTAAATATTAAAAACAAGAAAAAGGACGAAGCGCCTTAAACCCAAGACGTAGAATAGCTCTGGGACAGGTTTTTTGGCTGGGTACTGTTTTTCTAGCCCTCCTGGAAGGTCAGGGTGTTGCCTGCGGTGGCCTCCGCCGCTGGGCCTGAGCAGGGGCGCTGGGGACCTCCCCTCCCCCGCCCTCGGTCGACCAGACGCAAGAGTGACCTTTCGCCGGAGTGACCTCTGGTGCGGGCACAAGGGGGTTCCCCGATCGCCGAGCGCGATGCCCTGCGCGCCTGTGTCTGGTCCCCCCACGGCCCCCCAGAAGCCGCGCACCGAAGGTCACTCTTGCCCAGGGTCACTCCTGCGTGTGGCCGGCTCGGGGGGGGGGGGGGGGGGGCGGGCCCTCGCACCGCCACGCAGCCGGCCAGACAGCCCAGAGGCTAGAGAGTTGGGGCGGGCATGCCCCTCTGCAGGGGGCAGGATTCAAGAGTAGAAAGTCCGACAATAGTCTGGGGACGACTGTTCAATGGCTTTTTCTGCTGCTTTCGATCTTTTTTTTGACTGCTCATTTTTCGCCCGAGATCCGCCCCTAGAGGGACATGCCCGACCTTGGGCCAGAGAAGATCGAGGCGGCCGGTGTTCTGCCGTCCTGGGCAGGCGGAGGCCGGTCTCGGGCCCCAGGGCCGTCCGGAGGCGGCGCAGGAGGAGTACGTGTCGGGGGCCCCCATGACGGGGTGGTGACCACACCGTGCGGTGAGTCTAAAACGACGCGAAGATCGGGACAAAATCGGATCGGGATAATTCGAAATCTCTGAGAATCGGCGGGTTTGGAGGATGTATTGGGCGCAGCGGCCGCTCCAGAGCGTTCCGGAACGCTCTGAGAGCGCTCCGGAACGCTCTGGAGCGATTTATCCCGATCCTAGCCTTGTTTGAGGTGGTGACCACACCGTGCGGTGAGTCGGTGGGGATCCGGGGTTACCGCACGGTTTTGTGGACCTGGGGCCCTCTCCGGGGACGTCTCGGGCGACAGGGGCCTCCGGGGTCCCAAGACAGTGCGGTGACGGGCCGTGCGGTGAGGTCCCTTGGGGTTCCGAGGTCTTCGCACGGTCTGTCACCGCACCGCTTCGGGACTCCAAAACGTGGCCCCGAGGGGGTGGTCGAGAGGTCTTGGTGCCCACGTCGCGTAAAAATCGAGCCGCGGGATGCCTGGGAAGGTCACCCTTCGGATGTTGCCCAAGGTCGTCCTGGTCCACGGCTTCCCCGTGAATTCCAGGGAGGCCCCCACGGCCTCCAGAGCACCCCTCACGAGGCCTAGGTGGCCCCAGGGGCTCCAAAATGGAGCGAAAAGCTGGGGGCAGCTTGGGCTAGGGACACCTCTTGTAACCTCCAAACCCTTGGTTACGGCAATCATCTTCGACGTGGAGCAGACTTCACAAAGATCCGCACGCGTGTCTTGGGTCGGCGCTGCACCTCCCCTTCCCACACCCCCTGGCGGTGCCGCCCTAGGCGCGCGCCGTGCGACGGGGAGGGGGTATGGGGTACGGGGATGGGGGCCAGCGCCGACCCGAGAAATCCGCGCGGGCTTCCGAGAGCTTGTGCTTGAGCAGTTATTTGGTCTTCTAACAGCCCCAACCTCGAGTTTCTCGATCGTAGGCTGCAGCTGTTGCGCTGGTTCCCACAGATGGTGCGCAAGGACCTGGAGCAGTGGGTCATCGACGAGGTGCAGTCTTGCAGCATTAGCAGTCGCGAATCTTCGGAGGTCATCGAAGGCTTCCAGCTGAGGATTCCTGCGGTACCTGGGGTATCTTTCATGGCCGAGCAGGCTTGGTTAGAGGTTGAGCCGATAGAGGTTGACCAGCAGGACACAGGGAAAGCACACAAGTCTGCAGAATTATGAATCCCAAACGCATTTCCACCACCCAGACCTTGTTTGCTGGATCTCGTTCAGCGGCGCTCCAGCTACGCAATCACACTGCCATCACCACTCGCCGCATCCCTCTACTTCTTTGGCTTCCCCGCTTGCATACACCTCCAAGTGATCCCCCCTCAGCGGAGCGGGAGCAGCTGTGGATACGGATATGGATAGTGTTCCTGCGATCAGATCTTGAGGCGGGCCGACACCCTGATCTTGGCCAGGGCAAGTCGCAGGGCCCGGGGGGGCGGCTGATCTTGGGGCGCGCAGTGCCATGGGTCACCCGCAGGGGCGCAGCGACGGCCGCGCTTCGCGGTTTGGGCCGGAGAGCTGGCCTGCGCGAGGAGAGTCGCGCATCGCGCTGCGTGCAGTGCAGTCATCGTCATCATCGTCGCCATCTTTGTCGCTTGGCCATCAGCGTCACGCTCGTCATCATCGTCGTCATCATCGTTGTCACCACCATCGTTTGCACCGCCCTCGTCATCGCCATCGCCATCGCCGTAATAATCGTCGCCGTCGCCGTGACCGTCGTGTTCGTCCTCACCCGGCGCACCCCGCGCTGGAGGCAGAGAAGGAGAGGGCGATGGCGGGGCGAGCAACGAGGAGCAGCAAAACGGATTTCCCGCCGAGGATGAGGTGTCGCTGCCCGCCACCTTGTGGTTGCGGGGCGGCGTGGCCCAGCTGCTGCACCGCGGCGACGGCGCCGATCCTCAGAGGCGGGGGGTCGGGAACTGGTGCCAGAACACCATACCTGGGATATCAACATCGCGAATCACCCTTACTGTTGCGTCTTGACGATCCCGAATCGTGCGAGAACACCGCTCCTGGGACTTCAGAACCGCAAAGCAATGTGATCGTTGCGCTCTAGCATTCCGACATCGTGCCGAAACACCGTTGCTGGGACATCGACTATCGGAATCCTTAAAATTGCTGCAAGCGTTGAAAACGAATGTGCGCGGCGCTAAGGCGAGAGCCACATCTTGAAAAGGAACCGCCCTCTATCCGTGAAAGCCTTGCACACTTTGAAGACGAATGTGCGCGGCGCTAAGGCGAGAGCCAGATTTTGAACACGGACCGCCTTTCATCTTTGAAACCCATTACAAGATTTTAAGACGAATCTGCGCGGCGTTGAGGCGAGAGCAACATTGAAAAACGTCCCGTCCTCCATGCGCGAATCTCTTGCATTTTTTAGGACGAACGTTTTCAACGCGAAGGCGACTGCCTAGAGGGTTCGTCGTCGTCGGTGTTTGCTCTCTGCAGGCCACGGCAGCTGCGCAGCGTCCCAGAGTTCGGGGATGATGTTTCGGAGAACGACGACCACCAGTCGGTCGCCAGCAGCGAGGACCTTGCGCCGTCGGACAGCCAGTCGGCATTGAGGCTGAAGTTTCGCCTTCGGGAGAGCAGGGTGCTCGACTGATGTCGAAGAACAAAACCAGTATACTATCAAGCTGCTATCATCGAAGACGCCTACGGCGAATCACCGCCGCCCCCTGCCTGTTTTGGAAACGCTTATGTGGCCGAACGCCAGGTTAGAGCTTGGCCAAGCCATCGGACCATGTGTTCCCCGAGTCGGCTCGGAAAGCCTTCGGGGAACACGTGGAGGAGGAAGAGGAGGATGAGGAGGGGAAGGGACAATGAAGAGCAGGAGAAGGAGGAGAAGAAGAGGAGAAGGAGGAGGAGGAGGAAGATACCTTTTGGGAGCCTCTTGGGTCATTCTTGGGGCCTCCTGGGAGCTTCGTGGGGTCGTTCGGAAGCCTTTTGGGCTCCCCATCGGGGCTCTTGGGGGCCCTTGGGGGCTTCGGGAGGGCCTCTTTGATAGTCTTGGAGGCGTTTCTGGCCCGTCTGACGCCGTCGGAGGCCACTTGGGGGCCTCTCTGGAGGTTCTTGGGACTCTCTTGCCCCCAAGAAGCCCCAAGAGGCCCCCAAACGGGTTCCAGAAGGGCCCCAATAGGACTCCCAAGAAGGCCCAGAGACGCCGAATAAAAAGCGATCGGTAACGCAAAAAGCTCTACACACCAAGGCTCCCAAGAGCGAACGGTGACGTAAACAAGCTGATAAGACCAAGGCTCCCAGCAGAGAGCGGTGACGTAACAAGTCCCTGACACCAAGGCCCAGCCAAGGCTCAGGAACGGGCGGCAACGCAACAATCTCTGAACATCAAGGCTCCCAAGAGCGAGGGGTGTGACGTAACAAGCTCTCAACGCCAAGGCTCCCAATACGAACGGTGGTGTGAGCAATTCCGGTTTCTGTTTCTGAAGCGCTCTTTCCGTCTCTGCGCCGGCCCAGGTAACGGAAAGAGCGAGGTGCGAGTGATGAAGTTGTGTTTTGGGCGACGCCCTCTAGGGAGGGGTCCAGGGGAGGGGCGAGGCGGGCACAACTCCGGTTAATGGCCGCTCGGGGCGTCTTGGGGGCTTCTTGGGCACTTTCTTGGGCTGTCTTGGGCGCTCAAGACGGCCCAAGAGGCGCCCAAGACGGCCCCAAGACGGTCCCAGAGCGTTCCAAGAGAGCCCACGAGCGCCCAAGACGGACGGCCCCAAGACGGCCCAAGAGGCTTCAAGACGCCCCAGGGGGCGCCCAAGTGGGCCCCCAAGAGGCTCCCCAAGAGGCCCAAGGAGGCCAAACTCATCGATTTCCCAAAGGAAAACATGCATTTTTTGCATATACGGCTTTTCGGCTTTCACGGCGTTGACGACGGCCCAAGAGGCCCCCCAAACCGCCCCAAGACGGCCCAAGAGGTTCCCAAGGCCACCAAAACCACAAGACGGCCCAAGAGGCGCCCAAGACGGCCCAAGAGAGCCCCAAGACGGCCCCAAGAAGGGGACCACGAACCGAAAAGTCTAGCCTTTCGCCCCAAGACGCTCCCAGGAGGCCCCAAGAGCCCCCCAAGAAGCCCCAAGAGGTCCCCAAGAGGCGTCCCAAGGCCACCAGGAGGCCAAACTCATTGATTTCTTATAGGAAAACATACGTTTTTAGCACACATTGCTTTTCGGCGTTCACGGCGTTGACGACGGCCCAAGAGGCCCCCAAGACCGCCCCAAGACGGCCCAAGAGGCCCCCAAGAGGCCCCCAAAACGGCCCAAGAGGGCCCCAAAGACGGCCCAAGAGGCGCCCAAGACGGCCCAAGAGGGCCCCAAGGCGGCCCCAAGAGGGGGACCACGAACCGAAAATTTTAGCCTTTCGCCCCAAGAAGCACCCAGGAGGCCCCAAGAGCCCCCCAAGAAGCCCCAAGGGGCCCCATAGGGAGCTCCACCGAAGGCCCCAGTGGGGGGGGGGAGGGGGGGAGGGGGGGGGCACATACGTCCCCCACGCCCAGGACAGCGTTTCGTGGCCCCATACAGAGCTCCACCGAAGGCCCCAGTGGGGGGGGGCACATGCGTCTCCCACGCCCAGGACAGCGTTTCGTGGCCCCACAGGGAGCTCCACCGAAATCCCCAGTGGGGGAGGCCACATGCGTCCCCACGCCCAGGACAGCGCTGTGGCCCCAAAAAGCTCCACCGAAGGCCCCAGTGGCGGGGGGATGCCACATGCGCCCCCCACGCCCAGGACAGCGCTTCGTGGCCCCATAGGGAGCTCCACCGAAGGCCCCGGTGGGGGGGGCACATGCGTCCCCCCCGCCCAGGACAGCGGTTCGTGGCCCCATAGGGAGCTTCACCGAAGGCTCCAGTTGGGGGGGCACATGCGTCCCCCACGCCCAGGACAGCGCTTCGTGGCCCCATAGGGAGCCCCACCGAAGGCCCCAGTGGCGAGGGCCGCATGCGTCCCCCACGCCCAGGACAGCGCTTCGTGGCCCCATCGGGAGCCCCACCGAAGGCCCCAGTGGCACAGTTCGCATGCGTCTCCCACGCCCAGGACAGCGTTTCTTGGCCCATAGAGAGTACGACCGATTGCGATACTCACAACGACGGTATTCACAACTGCATATGGTTGGGTCCTTCGCCAGGCTAATTTTTCAGGTGAAGCGGCCCAAGGGCTCCAAGACGGCCCAAGAGGGCCCCAAGACGGCCCCAGGAGAGCTTCAGATGGCCGCTGGACGGTCCAAGAGAGTCTCGAGAGGGCCCCAGAGGCCCTCAAGAGGGCCCCCGAGAGGGCCTCAGGAGGCCGAAAACCTTGATTTCCCTAGGGTTTTTGCAGGTTGTTCGGGTTCTCCCCTTTTCCGTCCCAGAAGGCCTCGACGGCCCAAGAGGCCCCAAATATCGTCCCAATACAGCCCCAGGGGCGCCCCACATTGGCCCAAAACGGTCCAAGAGGGCCCCTAGACGGGCCCAAGACGCCCCAGAGGCTTCAAATATCGTCCCAAGACGGCGCCAAGGGAGGAGGAGGGAGGTAGGAGGAGGGGGAGGAAGAGGAGGAGGAGGAGGAGGAGGAGGAGGAGGAGGCGGTGGAGGCGGAGGAGGGAAGAGGAGGAGGAGGAGGAGGAGGAGGAGGAGGAGGAGGGAGGAGGAACGGAGCGGAGGCGGAGGCGGAGGCGGAGGAGGAGGAGGAGGAGGAGGAGGAGTAGGAGGAGAGGAGGAGGATTAGGAGGAGGAGGAGGGGGAGGAAAAAGAGGAGGAGAAAGAGGAGGAGGAGGAGGAGGAGGAGGAGGAGGAGGAGGAGGAGGAGGAGGAGCGAGGGGTGACGTAACAAGCTCTCACCGCCAAGGCTCCCAGTACGAACGGCGGTGTGAGTAACTTCGGTTAATGTGTGTTGAGGCGCTCTTTCCGTTTCCGTGCCGGGCCAGGTAACGGAAAGAGCGAGGTACGAGCGATGACGTTGCGTTGGGGCGAAGCCCTGGAGGGGAGGGCTTGCAGGGGAGTGGCGAAGCGTGGGGACATTGGCGCTAATGGCCGTTTTGGGGGGTTCTCCCTAAGGGTTTTTGTATGTTTTTCGGATTCTCCCTCCAGACGGCCGAAGAGCGCTCCAAGAGAGCCCCAGACCGCCCAAGACGGCCCAAGAGGCCCCCAAGGGGCGTCCCCAGAGGGCCCGAAGATGTCAAAATCATAAATTTTCCATCGGCAAACGTAGATTTTTAGCATCTGGCGTTGACGACGGCCCAAGAGGCCCCCAAGACCGCCCCAAAACGGCCCAAGAGGCTCCCAAGAGGCACCCAAAACGGCCCCAGAGCGCCCCCAGACGGCCCAAGAGGCGCCCAAGACGGCCCCAGAGGGCTCCAAGGCGGCCCCAAGAGGGGGACCACGAACCGAAAAGTCTAACCTTTTGGCCACAAGACGCTCAAGAGAGGCCCCCAAAGCCGCCAAAGAAGCCCTAAGAGGCGTCCGACGAGGCCATCAGGAGGCCAAAATCATTGATTTCCTATAGGGAAGCGTGCATTTTTAGCATGCACGGCTTTTCGGCTTTCACTGCGTTGAAGACGCTCCAAGAGGCCCCCAAGACCGGCCCAAGACGGCCCCAGAGGATCCCAAGTGGCCCCCCAAACGGCCCAAGAGGGCGCCAAGTCGGCCCAAGAGGCGCCCAAGACGGCCCAAGAGGGGGCCAAGACGGCCCCAGAGGGGGGGACCACGAACCCGACAGTCTAGCCTTTCGCCCCAAGACGCTCCCAGGAGGCCCCCACAGACCCCCAAGAAGCCCCAAGAAGCCCCCCAAGGGCATCAAAAAGGACTGCAATAGGACCCCCAAGAAGGCTCAGAGAAGCCAAATAAACAGCGATCGGTAACGCAAAATGCTCTTCACACAAAGGCTCCCAAGAGCGAAGGGTGACGTAAACAAGCTGATAAGACCAAGGCTCCCAGCAGAGAGCGACGACGTAACAAGTTCCTGACACCAAGGCCCAGCCAAGGCTCAGGAACGGGCGGCAACGCAACAATCTCTGAACACCAAGGCTCCAAGAGCGCGGGGTGACGTAACAAGCTCTCAACGCCAAGGCGCTCAGTACGAACGGTGGTGTGAGTAATTTCGGTCCAGTTGTTGAAGCGTTCTTTCCGTTTCCGTGCCGGCCCAGGTAACGGAAAGAGCGAGGTACGAGTGATGACGTTCTAGTGTAGGGCGAGAGGATTCCCTCCCAAGACGGCCCAAGAGCGCTCCAAGAGAGCCCAAGACCGCCCAAGACGGCCCAAGAGGCCCCCAAGAGGCCTCCAAGAGGCGCCCAAGGGGCGTCCCAAGAGGGCCCAAGAGGCCGAAATCATAGATTTTCCAAAAGGAAAACGTATATGTTTAGCATCTCCGGCTTTTCGCCTTTCACAGCGTTGCGCCGGCCCAAGAGGCCCCCAAGACCGCCCCAAACCAGCCCAAGAGGCCCCCAAGAGGCCCCCAAAACGGCCCCAGAGGGCCCCAAGACGGCCCAAGAGGCGCTCAAGACGGCGCAAGAGGGCGCCAAGGCGGCCCCAAGAGGGGGACCACGAACCGAAAAGTCTAACCTTTCGCCCCAAGACGCTCCCAGGAGGCCCCCAGAGCCCCCAAAGAAGCCCCAAGAGGCGTCCCA